ATGGCGTGATCGACTGTGTCGAAAGTGGCGGAGATGTCCAGGAGGACAAGGAGGCAGAGGGAGCCCTGGTTACAGATAGAGAGGATGTCATTTGAGACTTTCACAAGCACAGTCTGTGGGCAGGGGAAACCGGACTGGAGGGGTTCGAAGAGGGAGTGGAAGGAGAGGTGTGCGCGGAGTTGATTAGCAACAATGTGTTCTAGGACTTTGGCGAGGAAGGGCAAATTTGAAATAGGGCGGTAGTGGCTGGGTTTGAGGGATCTAGGGAAGGTTTATTGAGGGGGCTGATGACAGCATATAGTAATACAGTAATAGCCAAACAGAAGAGCTATAATTCTATGATGGATACTGAGTGTAAACTCCAAACGGCTTTTCCTCCAGCCCCCGCACTGTCCCGTGCAGTGTCCCTCAGGGCTCTGTCCTCGGTCCCCTCCTCTTCACCCTCTATATGCTCCCCCTCGGTGACATCATCACAGATATGGGGTTAACTTCCACATGTATGCAGATGACACCCAACTCTACCTTTCCTCTTCCACCGTCAACTCCACAACCACCGATGTCCTGACAGCCAGCCTGTCTGACGTTGCACAAGACGGTGCAGGGGCTAGAGGAGAAACTGTTGTGGAGATGAAGTGGAGGTGGTGTGAGAGGTACTTATCTGAACCATTCAAGGACAGAACCATGAAGGTTGAGGTGAGAGTAGAGGCGGTGGATGAGGATAGAGTGGTCAATGGTGTCTAAGGCAGCAGAAAGGACGAGGAGGCAGAGGGAGCCCTGGTCGCAGATGGATAGAAAGTCATTTGTTACTTTGACTAGCACTGTTTCTGTGCTGTGGGTGACACGGAAACCCGATTGGAGGGGTTATTACGTTAATATTTGAAATTGTAACATTCATTTACTGCATTTTTCTCAAGTTTCTTTGCATCCTGTTTTCGAAAGTCAAGAGAATGAAAGATCTAATTTCAGTATATCTCCAGAAATTATATGTATACTACAAATTGGGAAAAATCTAGGAAGAGATTCTATCTATTTTTGTGTTGACTTCTTGGCTGAGGTAGGAAACCTTGCTTGTGGAAGCCATATTATAAGGGGACTTTACAATGAATTTGCCTTTAGTTTCCATTAATGTCCATAATGACAAAGTCCATACAGTATCAAATGGCCTGAGAGCCCTGAGTGCTGTTATATCACTATGTGTTGGGTCACATGCAAAAGTACCTGCAACAAAAGTTTTCCTGTTGGTAACTAGTTTTATATTCAAATGGAATCTACCGTTTGGTATGAAGGGACACTTAACAGTACTTCATTATGAGTTCTTTTGCTCTTTTCTTCCTGGGTGCTTCCTTCCTACTGTGCAAAATGGCTCATCCACTGATCCGCAATTTTTCATAACAAAACTGCAATGACCGAGGCAAGTATTTCACATTGTGAATAATTCTCCCTCATGGTGAGCTCCTTGTGAGGGGAAATTGCTCTAACAGTAACCTGTAAATCTGAGTGATTGCTCATTGAAAATGGTTCTTAAAATGACCTTTTGAAAAAAATAATGGAAAAAATATCTACACAGTGACCAACATTGATGAAATTATTAACAGTAAGTATAAAGAAAGGACAGTTAGTTTAGGAATATGGTGAGGCTGAAATCATTTGTTCTTGCTAACATGCAGTGCCGGAAATTATGCGACCAATATAATTGTGAATGGAAATGAAATTGGGATGAATGTTAAAATGAATGTTAAAAGTTGGTAGTTTACTTTGTTAACCATCCATCTTATGGTCCCTTGACTCACCTGAATTGCCTCTAGACTTGTGGTGCCAGATTGTCCATTTTGAAATGGAGAGCTTTGCTATCAATTAAAATTTGTCTGTTATTATTGCTAGAACTAATGCAACAGCATATTTTATTGATCTGATGCCCTTTTCCCCAATGCCAATCATTACAGTGCATAACCACTAGATATTATCTTAATAAGCTTGTTTCATTTCACTTGTTACACACAGTATGAAGTTTCAAACCCTATTTGGAGATTGCTAGACCATTCATGTTCACCTTAATTTAATATATCTAAAATATCAATTTATTTCGAGTACTAACTACAAGATACTACATAAGTTACTGGATAAGCATTGCATATACTCCATGAATGGGATAGAACTTCCTAATTGGGAAGCTGAAAGAGATCTAGAGGTGTTATTTGACTCATCGTGCACCATATTAAAACAGTGTGGAACAGCAATAAACATGGCAAATAGGATGTTGGTCCTTGTTTCTGTATCAGTTGAGTTCAGATCCTCAGAAGTCGTACTTGATGTTTAGTGCTCTGATCAAGCTGCACATGCCACACTGCATACAGGACAAATACAAGGAAATAAAAGAATCCACAGCTAAATAATTGTTAAATTAATCATTCAGGCCAGCCATTACTGCCTCTGTTCAGCCCTATGTAAACTGTGGTAGACCTCATTCCTGTTGTTAACACGTACTGCCAGGAAATTAATGTCAGTAAAAGGGAAAAATAGCTCTCGCAATTAATAACAATCCTTGCATTTGATATAGTACCTTATGTTGATGAGACGTCTCAAAGTGCTTCACAGGATATACTGTAGGGTGGATTGACTGTTTTATGGTTGAAACAAAATTTGAGCGAAACATTGAGAAATGAACAAAAATTGAGCAGAATAAAACTTAAGAAAATTAGTTTTGCCTCCTTATAATCCAATATGCTTCTTTAAACTCCAGAACTTAAATATTAGCGGAAAAATTCTACTTGCAGAAATTAATTTCTTAATTGACGGCATGTATAATGGACATTTGCTTTTAATGTTGGATTTATAAATAGCACTAAAATATATACTGCCAATGATCTGTTAATTACCGGTTTCGTTGGATGTAGCCAACAGCATTTTTAAGTCTTAGGTACCCAAAATCCATACTGAAATGGTAGAATTGCCCTTATATTACATTTAAGTGGGTCTGATAGAAATCTGAAATGTTGTCTATTGAAATATTGACAGGACCACATCACTCCCACCCTCGTTCGCCTCCACTGGCTCCCCATCCCCCAGAGGATCGATTTCAAGATCCTCATCCTCACCTACAAGGCTATTCATGGCCTTGCTCCCTCCTACCTCTCCGACCTACTATCCCCCTATCTACCTGCCCGTACCCTCCGTTCCTCTGGCTCCGGTCTGCTCCACATCCCCCGCCCCAACCGCCCTACCATCGGTGGCCGGGCCTTCAGCCTCTCAGCCCCGAGGCTCTGGAACTCTATCCCCCAGTGCCTTCGCCGCTTCCTCCCTTTCCTCCTTCAAGGCCGGTCTCAAGACCTTTCTCTTTGATCGTGCCTTCAGCTCCCCCCTCGACTCTCTACCCCCTCTTCGCCCCCTCCCTTCCCTCCCCTCACCCTGACCATTTCCCCCCAATGCTCAGGTCCTGACCCAACTGTACAGCGCCTTGGGATGTCCTCCCGACGTGAAAGGCGCTCTATAAATGGAATCTTGTTGTTGTTGTTGTAATGACCTATAATTGGATTGTCAAGTGCAATTGTATGATAATCAGCTTAGTTTTTTAATTTGATGAACTGGCTGATCCAAGGCTGATAATGATCAACAAAAGAAACTCTTTTTTACCTGTCTTTTATATGGGGCTCTCTATGTCATATTAAAGCGACAATTGCAAATTGACTTTAAATGTTTGTGATCTAATATAAAATTGAGAATCGAAAGTAATATGTCACTTCGTTGTCCTCAAATGTTTTGAATTTGCATACAGATAATGCTGATTTAATCTTGTATCAAATCATTTTCCAAGAGTGAGAAGTGCTTTGAGATGTTCTCTTGGTGTGAAAGGTGCTTTATCAACTGCAAGTCTTATTATTTTTAATTTATTGTTAGGTTGTCTGTAGTTAGAGTAAGTTCCAAAGAATATTTTCAAGAAGTAGAATCTCCATTATAATGCGCTTTGTTCAAAGGCAAGTTCACTTCTATAATGTGATTGGTTTGTGGACCTGACATTTTCTTACCTCAAAATCAAGAAAAATGCAGTAAATGAATGGTGGCACGGAAACCCGATTGGAGGGGTTATTACGTTAATATTTGGAATTTGGAACATTCAAAATCCAAATTGCACCATATATTGTGCTTGAAATCTTGGTCTCACATCATTGAGCTTGAAATCCTGTTGTTGCCCTTCAAAACAAGGGGATTTGAAACCCAGTTACGTGTTTGAACTGTGATGACGCGATTTCAAGTGCGATGGGGGGCCGATGGAACCAGCCAACCTTCTGCTCATACAACTCCATGACATCACTGCTCAATTGATTGGTAGTGATGTGATACATGAGCACTGACCAGCGACTGCTCTTGATCAAACCTTGGTGAAATTTTCTGAACCCCAACTCCAACTTTCTGACGGGATTCTACTGTAATAAATTATGAGGGTGTACTTTGGTTTAAGCAACAGCTTAGAACGTCCTCCTGATGTGAAAGGCACTATGCAAGTGTAATTTGTTGTTGTTGTAAACTGCATTTTTGCAGTAAACTGCTAACAAACAAGTTGCTGACTTATCTTCAGTCAGTTATTTTTACTCGCCTTTATTCTGAAGTCCCTTCAAAAAATAAATCCTTAAAGGTTATGGTTATAGTTGATTTCAAACACGGCTTTAAATAGTCTCACAGTCAGTGCTTACATTCAACTTCTGTGACTGCTTGAAGTTGTGGCAAATGAAAATAGCTTTAAAAGCCTTTCATGTTGAATTTCTTAATGCAGTTAGCCTCTTGTGATTTAGTGAATGGGATATAAAGAGGACAATGGGTTACAAGCAGACATTACTCGTCCCAGCAGTTTCATTTACTTCCGTTTGCTTGCCAAAATTTTCATTCATTCTTGAGCTGAAAGTGAATACCTCCTCAAGCAAAAGCCATAAGAATGTCATTGGAAGGAAAACAAACAAACAGCTGATGTGTTTGTTCTTCACTGATTTGCCCTTTTTTTTTTGCAGGTTTCAAGTGCCCAATATGTTCAAAATCTGTGGCTTCCGACGAGATGGAGATGCACTTTATAATGTGTCTCAGCAAACCACGACTCTCGTACAACGGTACTGTATAAATCTCTTTTCTACTTGCACCCTGTGCGTTGACGTTCTTGAAAGATATTAACATTATTAGTGGTGCTTGGCAGAGCATGCTTTGCCATTTACCATGCCACAGTATGCTTTGCCATGCTCACAGTTACGAATGAATGAAGTAACTGTTCAGTAAAATGTTCAGGGCTAATGCATCCTTTTGTCTTGTGAGCCAGCTCTCCCCTTTAGAACAGGGGTTTGGCTCAAATTTTGGTAATCTGTAAGTGACAATTATTTGGTATTTCCCTGCATTATTGTTGCAATACTAAAAAGCCTATTTAGTTAGGGTACTTATCTACTTAGGGTATTTCATCTGTTCCTTTTGGAGTGATATACCCAGACATTTCTAACATGAAAACCAGATGCTGAATTTGTTCTTCATTATCAAGATATCTCAGATCTCCAGACTTGGCAAAATGTGGGTACACCACTCTACATCTGTTTCCTGATATTAGCAAAACTTACTTCCAAGTTTCAATCCCAATTCTCTCTCTTGGTATTCTGGTGCTCAGTCTTTTAGAATTCCTGGCGTTTTTTTCTTTGAACAAAGCTGGTGAGTTCCAGGTCACATGGCGATTGATCAGGTTGGTCAAGTCCAGGTCATGTGTCGATTGATCAGTCACGTCAAGTTCAGATCACATGAATTTTGATCAGTCACGTCAAGTTCAGCTCACATGGCAATTGATCAGACAGGTCAAGTTCAGGTCACAATGTGATTCAATTGGATTTAATTGAATGAATTAATTAACTAATCTGCCTTCACTCTTGACTGCAGGACCACTGCTGTCCTGACAGAATGTCTGTCAGACATCAAGTCCTGGATGAGAACCAATTTTCTTCAGTTGAACATCAACAAGACCGAGGCTCTCCTGATTGGCTCCCGTCAGTACCTCCACACCTCAGGAGCTGACAGCACCACCATCCATAGTTGCACAATCCCGAAGTCCGGAACCTTGGCGTCTTGTTTGATCCTCAACTATCCTTTCTACCCCTCCTCTGTGCCATGACCCGCTCTGCCTTCTCCCACCTCCACAATGTCGCCCGGCTCCACCACTGTCTCACACCGCAGGCCGCCGAAACCCTCAGACACGCTTTCATTACATCGAGGCTCGACTATGCAAACTCCTTGCTTGTCGGCCTCCCCAACTCCCTCCCTCCATAGGCTGCAGATCATCCAAAACTTTGCAATCCGTGTCCTCTCCCACGCCAGGGTCTGTGACCCTATCACCTCCATCCTAGTCCGACTCCACTAGCTTCCCATCACACCTCCATCCTATCCGCTCCCTCTGTTCAGCGGGCTCCGGCCTGCTTCAACTCCCCCGCCTCGTTCGCCCTGCCATTGCTGGGCGGGTCTTTGCCACTCTGCCGCCACCCTCTGGAAGTCCATCCCGCAGTCCCTCCGCCTCGCCCCCCTTCCTTTCCTCCTTCAAGACCCATCTCAAGACCCTCTTCTTCGACCGTGCTTTTGATCACCCGGCTTCCCCCACTGCCCTCCATGATACTGACCCCCAGCTCGGGTCCGAAACTCTGACTGTCCAGCGCCTTGTTATGTCCTCCCGACATGAAAGCCGCTATACAAATGTAATTTTGTAGTTGTTGTTAATGATTATTTTCTCGCACTCAAAACAACCTGTGCAGGACTGAACTCAATACTGATTCAGTGCTTGGCTTGCTGAAAAAACAGTATCGGATTTGACGAGGGATTCAAGTTATGATGCTTTTGTTTTTGACCAGATTTCAATCTATTAATTTCTGAGCAGGCTTTAAACCAAAGCAGCACTGAATTAAATGTATTTGAATTTATTCATTTGGTTTAAAGAGCTGTAAATTTGAAAGGAGCCTTACTGCTCATGTAAGTTGAGCCAAAGAGTAAGACGACAACTAAAAAGGGAATGTTGAGCCAAAGAGTAAGACGACAACATAAAGGAACGCGTTTAGTTCTAAATTGAATGTCACTCCATATGCGAACTTAACCAGTTACACTTGTGCTTTCGTTTATGTAAGTGCCAGTTTGACAGAATTCAAATGGAGCGAAAAAACAAAAATTCTGAACATGGTTAAACAACAGCAAGCATTGGGAACCTTCCGGGGGCGGGGGGGGGAAATTACATCTGAGCTCTGTACAACATTATGCTATTGTGATGCACAGAAAAGTCCCAGAAGTGACTTTTGGAAATAACTTGTTGCCTGTGCTTGCTCAGAATCCTAAGGCTTATTTAGTATTATGCTGACTATGTGCTCAGTGGTGGAGTGTGTACACTTTTAGAAATGGGGTCAGCAGGCAACTGCGGTGGCTGATGGGATTTGCAGCATTTTTCGCTTCACAGGCTTTTGTATATCCACGCACTCAGTGATGTGTAGCACAGTGAATCTGACCTGGCTTCTCTTGGAATTGATTCTTTGGTGACGCCTTGGGCATTATTTTATGAATGTTCATTAGCAGATGATTCCTGCTGGAAACACTGACTTATTCTTATTTATGACTGCTATGAAATGAACTTCCAAAATCCACATTATAAACGTTTTATTCATACAGTATAAAAAGGCTGGCTGTGTCTAATTGTGATATTTGAGAATTTTATAATCTTGGAAGTTCTTTTCCAAATGCTTCAATCTGTAAGTGTGAGGTACATGTTTAGCGTTATCAACGGTAGATTATTGTTTCTTTCACTTGCTCGCTCTTATTTCTTTGACTTCTACATCTCTCTTGAGCTGCCTGTCAGTCCAACTTTATTTTACTGTGTTTATATTTCTTTCTCTTTGTCTACCCATCTCCCTCCCACGCTCCCCCGTGGGTGTGTAATGTCATCTGTGTGTGTGTGCATCTGTCTTTGCCCCTCTGTCCGTCTGTCTCTTTTCTTTCTATTTCCCCCTTAACCACTTGCTTGCAAACTTGTGCTTTGTTGTTCCTGCAGCTGTCTTGACAAATTTAGGTCAACATTTGCTTTTTTTTGGTTAATCTGAGACCTTCCTATTCTTATACATGCATTCATAACACTCAGGCTTAACTATGCAAACTCCTTGCTTGTTGGCCTCCCCAACTCCTCCCTTCATAGCTGCAGATCATCCAGAACTCTGCAGCCCATGTCCTCTCCCGCACCAGGCTCCGTGTCTCTATCACCCCCACAATCACCCGACTCCATTGGCTTCCCATCACACAGAGGATACAGTTCAAGATCCTGGTCTTCACCTTCACCTTCAAAACCCTCCATGGCCTTTCTACCCCCTACCACTGCGACCTCCTAACTTCCTACCATCCTACCTGCTCCCTTCGCTCCAGCCTGCTTCACATCACCTGCCTTGCATGGCCCACGCTTGGCAGGCAGGCCTTCTGCCACTCTGCCCTCATCCTCTGGAACTCCATTCCGCAGTCCCTCCCTTGCCTCCTTCAAGACCCATCTCAAGACCCTCCTTTTCGACCGTGCTTTCGATCACCCTGCTTCCCCCCCTGCCCTCCACCCTCCCCAATCTTGACTCCCAGCTCGGGTCTGAAACACTGACTGTCCAGCACCTTGGGACGTCCTCTCGATGTGAAAGACTCTGTACAAATGTAATTTTGTTGTTGTTGTATTCTGAAGATTCACTGCCAGTTTGTCAGTCTTGCCAGAACATGTATGTGTGTCTTACTGTGTGTTAAAACAACAAGGCTATTTCATGAGCAGTTCTATTGCATTTCTCTGGCCAATGATAGAAGGTTGAGACTTTCTCCTCGTTTCACTGTCTGATGTCCATGGGCCAATAATCTAGAGTTGATAGCACTGAGCATGGCCACAGTGAGTCCCAAAATACTATTTTTGGCAACCTCTCCTACACCTTTAGTCCTGCTGGCAACTAGGAATTGCAGAAGGAACAGGCCATTCAGCCCATTAAATATGTACTGCTGATTTTCTACACATGAGCACCATGTTTAATCCCACTCTCCAACTAGCTAGTAAATGGTGTTCTTACTTCATAGCCAGACTGATTAACAACTTGATCGATAGTCTAGACAGATTATTGTTTTATGTCTGACCCTTCAAAGCAGTTCTTTTATACAAATTGTGACTCAGGCCTGGAGTTGGGTTTATAAAACGACAATTTGAGAGACTTGGACAAGGACTAAAATCAAAGGGAATATAGCAGAATGTGAGTGACATTGATTTGGGGGAATGGAATAGGAAAATCAAGGAGACCACTCGAGTCTGAAAGCATTGCTCATACCAGTTGGCTGAAGTGCCAAGGAGGAAGATGAACTACTGCTCCATCATGTTTGTACTGAGTTTGATTGGAGCATTGTCTGACTTCAAAGATAAAAAGATCAAATGATATTGGGGTCTGATTCCAAACAGGATTTCTTAATTACGGAATCTGAGGTAACGTGAAATACAACACACAGATGCACCTACTTTGAAAGTAGATTGTATTATTAGGAAGTTCCCATAAGTTTGTATTCAGATTCCTTTGAGGAATCTTGATTGACGTTGGTGTGTTTAAACCCCACTATGAGAAACAAAATCTGAAGTATTGCAAAGCGAGTGCTCTAACCACTGAGCTACAGGACTCCAAACAAAGACAAACATTAATAATGCAGAGGTGGTCAGGGGGAGGCTCTTAACATTTTCTGGATTATCTGTACTGTGAGTCAACTGAACTGCACACAACACAGCAAAGATAATGTTAAGTTTTGCATAAATTGACCTTTCAGCAGATCTTCAGGTGAAAGTATTTTTTGAACACATTAGCCTTAAACCAGTAAATATCTTCCCAGGAGATGTAGAAAAGTCAATACAGTTTCTGGTCCTCCAAACCATTCAAGTGGTTTGACTGTTAATTCTGAACTCAGCCTTTTACATTTATCCAGCTGCCAACCACTGGTGTAACTGTCATTATTGTAACCCCTCAATGTTTGACAGTTAAGAGCTGGATAAATTGTGTTTTTTTAAATGTTTCACACCAAATAAGTATGAACTGAGATATTACTTTCCATTTTAAAC